AAAATATAGATTGAATTGTTATCAATACAAACGATTAAATAAAATACGAATTCAATTTTTTTCAACATCAACGATTAAATAAAATACAGATTGAATTGTTATCAATATAAACGATTAAATAAAAGATACAAATTCAATTTTTTTCAAGATAAACGATTAAATAAAATACAAATTGCATCTTTTTCAACATCAATAATTAAATAAAATATAGATTGAATTGTAATCAGTATAAACGATTAAATAAAATACAAATTCAATTTTTTTCAACATCAACGATTAAATAAAAAATATAAATTGAATTGTTATCAATATAAACGATTAAATAAAAAATATAAATTGAATTATTTTGAATTTAAACGATTAAATACATATTGAATTTTCTTCACTATAAACGATTGAATAAAATACAAATTGAATTTTTTTTGAATATACACGATTAAATAAAAAATACAAATTCAATTTTTGTTCAATAAAGACTACTAAGATTTTGATTTTCTCATCTCAAAGTTTCTTGCTTAGAATCGAGTGAATCTTCACCAAGTTTTAACGAAGATTTTTCTCGAAAGAAACTTTGGTTTTATATCTCACCAAGTTCAGAGATATAGACATTTCTCACTAGGTGCAGGCAGCACTTAGTGCATATAAATTACGTGTTTGATTTCAATAAGAAATTGTGATTATAGAAGATTTTAAAGACTATTTTAATCACATCGGATTTCATTAGTCATAGTTCGAAAAAATCAGTCTTATCTAAAGTATCTTTTAAGAACTGATTGTAAAGAATGCCGAAACTAAAAAGAAGATCTACATCTCAAAGAAATGCCGAGATGGCTAGAAGAATTAGAGAAAGAAGAACTGATGATGATTTTCGCTTGTTAGACAATAGAAGACGAGCAAATTCTCATAAAATTGAACGACGAAATAATGAATTCAAAACAGAAGAAAATAAAAGAAGAGCCGAAGCTCATAAAATTGAACGACAAGATGATGAATTTAAAACAGAAGATAATAAAAGAAGAGCCGAAGCTCTGAAAATTGCACGACAAGATGATGAATTCAAAGAAGAAGAGAGAAGAAGAAATGCATTAAGAATACACAATAATAGAAATAAATACAAAAGTAATTTTGATGGCATGAAATCAAATTATGAATCAAAAATAAAAGAAGGACCTACTCATATTTGTAGCTGTTGTGGTGGTTTATGGTTTGAGTATTCAATCAGAGAATTTACAGTTGAGATGTTAACAAACAAAGGATTAAAAAAAGAATTTATCGATACAGTTTGTTATCTCAAAAATACAATCATTAAATTATGTGTCACTTGCAGAAAGGACATCATGTCGAATAAGGTACCTAATCTCAGTCTGTCTAATGGTTTAGCATTCTATGAAGTACCGGATTGCTTGAAAGCCTTGACTGAATTAGAAGAAAGATTAATATCGCCAAGAATTCCTTTTATGGTTATTCGAAGTTTAGGTTCTTGTAAACAATTCGGTCTCAAGGGTAACCTTGTAAATGTTCCCATGAATGTTGATACAAATGTTTCAGTATTGCCCAGAAGTTTTAGTGATACTCACACGATTCAATTGAAACTCATGAGACAAATGAAAAATAAAAATGCTTTTATGTATGAAACAATTCGACCAAAAGTTGTGCATACTGCTGTAAAATATTTGGTTGAGCAAGAGCTGTATAAAGATGAAGGAATTGTGATATCTCATGATTGGCTGAAAGAATATTCTAACGAGAGAGAGAATTTTATCATCGAAGATGGAGATAAGAAACTGGATGAAAATCAAAACATCAGTAAAGATTTTGATGACGAGGACAAATGGAATGAATGTGACGATGAACCAGTCAATCCAAGTGCTACTGAAACATTATTAAATGACGAGATTGTTGATCAAAATGATATTGGTATCAAATTTGCTCCAGGAGAGAATAACAGACCGATATCTATTTTAATGGATTTGAAAGTCGATGAATTAACATTTCCGAAAATTTATTGTGGCAAGCAAAGAAAAATCAAAGCGAATGTTAAATTAACTTATGCTAAGATTGCCAAGTCAAAATTAAGAATGTTTGATCGAAGATGTGGTAGAATATCGAAATTGTTTTTCACATATAAGAAACTACAAACGAGAAAGTTCTCCGATGCTATTTCAATAAATTTGAGAAAAACAAAAAATACGAAAAACATAACTGTTGCACAAATGCTCAATCGAGATTATGTAAACGGATTGATTCATAATGATGATGCTTTTACATTCTTGAGATGTGATCGATCTTCACCAGCGTTCTGGGAACTAAAAAAAAAGGAGGTTATGGCAATGATCAGGCAATTAGGATGTGCAACTATTTTTCTAACATTATCAGCAGCAGAGACAAAGTGGTCAGAACTAATTGTAATATTAACTCAAGTGTTGGAAAATAAAGTAATAACGTTAGAGGAGGCAGAAAATATGAGCTATGAAAAGAAATGCGATTTGATCAGAAATGATCCTGTAACATGCGTTCGTTATTTTGAACATAGATTAAAATGTTTATGGGAGATATTATCGGCACCTTGTGGACCATTTCAAGGCTATGAATTAGAAGATAAATATGTCAGAGTTGAATTCCAAGTCCGTGGTTCGCCACATATTCATGCTTTACTATGGTTAAAAAATGCTCCAAAATATGATAAAAATAAACCTGAATCAATTGAAAGATGTACAGAATTTATTGATAAGCTGATTTCAGTTAATTGTAAGCCAACGGAATTTTCTGAATGCCTTATATGTTTGCAACGTCATAAGCACTCACA